AAGTCGTCATACCACACCTCTTTTGATAGTACATTTTTTTTATCTGGGATTGAAACTCTTTCCCAAACTTTGAACATGAACATCTATAATACAAAGCAGAAAGTAAGGCGTATGTATTGTATGTATGTGTGTATGTATGTATGTGTGTGTGTATGTATATATGTATGTATATATGTGTGTGTATGTATGTATGTATGTATATGTGTTACGCATATAAATCAAAACCGTTTGACCAATCTTGATAAAACTTGGGCTAAATGTTCCTTGGGTACTAACTGGAACCGTGATGTATGTATAGTAGCCCTAAAACAAAAGCCTAAGACCCTAAAAAAAAAATAATTGCCAAACTCTATGAAAGTATTACTATTTCATGGATCTAGACCATGTTTACACGAGAGAAGATCGAAAGGATTTAGATCTAGATCTAATTTTAAGAACTACGCTTTGCACAGACAGTTTTTTACTTTGACACGTGAAAATTACAAAATATAGTCTAATGATTTCATTATTTAATAAAATTAACCTTAAAATTTGTCTTTCAAAACCATTTTGACATAAATTCGTTCCTTATATCTGTGAATTTAGACGTCCTGATGTACTTTATAATCCCATTTATTAAACAAAACGGATAAACCCGTTCTAATTGTACTTTATATTTCATTCATCTTTCGTTTTTAATAGATATGGATGTAACGGCCTAAAGGGTAAACCCATTTTCGCAAAACTAATTTTATTTTCGTATCGAAAGAGAAAAACTTGAAAGGGAACATTATCTTAGTTTGACATATATATATATATAAATTCAATCCACTAGATTAGTAATGCACAAACTAAGGCCCGCAGGCCTCGGGTAATGTCCAGCTAGTAGTATATAAAAGTAGCTTGTAGTAGGAAGCTTATTACTGCATAAAATGATGACGTATGAGGTTGTGACGCAAAGCGTCTGAAGGGAGATATTCTTTAACTTCTGTCAAGCACTAAACTAGCTCAAAAAGCGATGACGTCATTGTAAGAACTAATCCACCTATCGTTGAGACAAGTGACATCCCATTTGAAATCATGAGCTATTGTGGAAGTCAGGAAACAAATATTTCAAGGTAATTGAAGAAAGAAATAGATATACATAAAAAAATACATATAAATACATATACTGTGCTCTGAGTCGGACATTGGACAGAGGTTTTGATGTGACCTACAATTATGTTTAAATATAACCCAATGTTCGCGAGCCATTTAAAAATTTGCTTAATAGAGAATTTCATTTTCCTAAATATTATGCTAAGTCAACTTAATGTTGAAAAAGTTAAAAAAACAACCTAACATTTCAGAATTTTTGATAGAACTAGAAACTAAATCTTAATGTTATCCACAAAAAAAGTTTATAAGTTGTTTTTTTGACTTAAACTGAAAATACTTTGTATTGATAGTGATTCATACTAAACAGTTTATTCCTATCAATATAAACTGAAGTTACTTTGTATAGACTGATTCACACTAAACAGTTCGCTTCTATCATTATTTGACATCTCTTGTCTACAGAGCAATTCTGGAAGTTGAAAATGATAAGAAAAAAAAACAACTCGATGTTTTAATGTAACACGTTGGCTTAGGGTTAATGTGACTCCAGCGACTCTTTACGACTACAGAAATACACCTGGCTCTATTTCAGTTCAATCCTCTGGTCTTCTTAATGCAACTGCAAGTCTTTTAAAGACACGAAATATTATCATATCCTGATCACTTATGATTAATAAAATCTCGATAAACTAGAGTTCTTAGGCTAATTAGTTAATGGATGAAACAAGAGCACGGGCCATTAGCCTATGTCGCCTTGGAAACTTAAAACCTTGAGTTCATATTTTAATTCTATTCAACCATCGGTTCAGCCACGACAAACCTGTCACATGAGAACTCGACTAGAGACCATGTGCGTTTTAAAAGCTTAAAATACAAATACAAGATTAAGATTGTTCCAAATATAATCTTAGATTAACCAAGTCACGAGGTCAATGTCCTATCATCCAATGGGTGAAGTTGCATAATTTATGTCTGTAGTCATGGAGATAAAGCTCTCCTTTAAAAAAAAAAAGAAAGAATAGCTTGGATCATATAATCTTTTTTTTTCTACTACATCTGTAATGTATGTTTGTAATATAAGACATCAATAATGAATGTTTGTAATATAAGACATCTATAATGAATGTTTGTAATATAAGACATCAATAATGTATGTTTGTAATATAAAACATCTATAATGTATGTTTGTAACATAAGACATCTAGATCTATAATGTGTGTTTGTAATATAAAACATCTATAATGTATGTAATAAATGTATATAGATCTGGGTCCTAAAGACAAAATTCAATGTGGAAATCCAAAAACGAGAAGCCACGAAGCATCAAAGGTGTCTCCTAGTGGGTAGAAACATACAAACATCGATAGTTCTTAGCACATGACTTAAATTATCACTAAAATACATATTAAATATTCTCGAAATTTAAATAGATACATCTCATGTCTTGGGAATTCTCAAAATCTCACTAAACAATATCTTTATGTCGATAGCATTCTCAAAATCTCACAATACAGCTCTATCTCAGATGTCCTCATGACTTCTAAAAAAAACTCACTAAATAGCATCTTAGAAAACTTTGGGATTCTAAAAAATCTCTAAAAAAAGGCATCTGAGATTCTTTTATAAATTTAATAAATACTATCATACTATTTGCTTTAAAAAATTAGAACCATGGCTAATACATCAAAACTTTGTAACAAACAAAATAAACACAACCTGACTTGGAATCTTGTAATATGAAATTACCCAAGATAAAATAAACCGAACACACATAAATCTAATCCCCATATCGAGATACATTCTATTTATAGGTAAATGGAAAATAACAAACACGCACACACACACACGCGCGCAGTCCAACAAACGAGGTATTGGCTTGTATCAGGTGACTGGGTCAGGAACATCCTCATAAGAATATTTACCAGAAGGATTCTGGGAATTGAAAAGGGGAGACACACACCATAAGTTATTAGAACATGTCCGGCCTGCAGGACGCCAACATTCACGAGGTAATGTGTTTGCTTCACGAGCTCTATTCCCTCGTCCCCGTGGATCAAAGAACTCCGCTATTATACTGGTCCCCCCTCCACCTTTATGTTGATGCTTAGCGTAAAGTGCAAGCAACATTTTGTTAATTCAGATTGGAAATGAAACACGTGAAACCTCTGTTACTAGCCACACCGAAAGCAGTCTTACCCGCCACTTCTTGAGCTGCCCCATTGAAAGCCATCTCGACACTTCTTTAACCGCCAAACATAAATCCATCTTATCGCCACTTTTTTAGCCGCCAAACATAAATCCATCTTACTCGACACTTCTTTAGCCGCCAAACAGAAAGCCATCGTACTCGCCACTCACCATGGATGGTATTGACTACACAACGGCTGATGGTGGTCTAAAAATTCTCAGTGACATTTTAGCTATGTAATACTTCACTATTGCCAGGAGTCTTTCCATTGAGCTTTGCACAATCCAGCTCTTCTATTAAGAGTCCAATCTCATTTGTGGACCAGTGGGAGAGAAGGTTTTTCCTTGTGCCTTTTGGCGCTCAGTAAACACAGCTCTGCTGAGTCGGGAGTCGAATCTCCAGTCTCCTTTATAGAAAGCCAGCCGAGTCAAGTTCAAGCCCATTTAGCCTTTCGACCACGCTATCCACAACCATTACTACCTTCAATTAGTGCATTTCTCTGTAGGAATAGAAAACATCTTACATACGCAAACATAACAACACCCACCTCAACTTTTCAGCATGGACAAAGTACAATTGCTTAAAAAAAAACGATTGCAAAAGTTTTCTTGATTTTGATGTTGTCACATATAAAATGATTTAGATGTAGTGTTGAACTAAGTGGCATTAACTGGTATTAATTGGATTATAATTGTGTTTATTTTACACTTTAGTTTTGCCATAATTGTTATTTAATTTGATTAGGTCGTCACGCTAAAACATGTTGTTGTCTTTGAGTTTCTAGTTTACATTTACTGTTGCAATAATTAAACTCTAAAGTACACAGTTAAAAGAAAACAAGGCTGGCATGTCTCACAGTAGATCAATTTATTGTTGTATATTACAAACATTATGATGAAGTCTATTTACAAGGTTTCAGGGGAAACAATCCATATTATACATGAGGATAACTTAGAACAGAAGAGCTTTGTTCAAATATAGTTATTAATGTTTAAAAATAGAAACAAGAGGTACATAAAGTATTAAACAATACACATGGTTGATGCCGAAATGAAACTCAAAGATCACTATTGACTTGAATTAAACACAGCTGTTTTTAGTCTTCAGAGTAGATAGTGTGTCAACCTGAGTCAACCGTTTGAATATACATTTATATTTTATATATCTAGTCTATGTAATGTAATATCACATAGTACATTTTCACTACTAACTGTGGTATAAACATACAATACATTCAGTTCAGTGGACATCACTACTGGAAGAGTGTCCTGAATTATGCCTCCAATAAGACAAAGGGCGAGAAATGAAATACTGTGTAACAAACTTCGCCACAAACACGGTACATTCTGATACTTACTTTTAACTATTTCTCCATCCCCACCTTTCCTTTCTACTGTCAGCCTTTCTCTCTCTCTCTCTCTCAAAGAACTCTTCAAAGTTTTGAAACAACAAAAGTCTCCATTATTGCGCCCTTTAATTCAATCCGTCCGTCTGTCTAGTACACGTTATTTCTCCCGCTTCCCATTCTCGGATCAAGTTGAAACTTTGCACAATTATTAGTTGTCGATGACAACACATGAATCTATCAAAAAAATTAATCAATTAGTTAATCAGTTAGACATAATTAATTAATTTTAATATTGTTTTATATGAAAAATTGTCCTAAGCTAACGGCAGATAAGTCTTGCAATAATGAGAGACATGGAAGCCATTGAACGCTGCTCCCCCCCCCCCCCCCCCCCCCCAAAGCACGAATGGAACTCATTGTCGACATGTTAGATAGCAGACGCTTAAATGCTGCGAAAATCTCGTTGAAAATCTTGACTTCCTGTGCCTTTGGAAAAGAAATATTGCGTATTTAATTTCACTCTAAGGGCGGACATTTTTTTTTCTTAAATGGGAAAAATACTCTTGATAGAATAGAAGATGGAGTGGTCTAGATGTTGGGAGTGATGCATTAAACGCAAATCTTATTTACAGATTCCAGAATGATACACTATTTATTATAAGAGGTTTTGTTGCGCAGTTAGCCTAAGAGATTCATTATACAGTACATAAAGTTGAACACAGCCGAGGAGTAGTGAACAAATTGAGGAGAAGTGCATTGTCCAGTTAAACCAGGACAATAAACCCAGGTTTTACACACGCCAGTTAACAAACACACTGTAAGTATATATTATATATTATTATATAGTATATTGTTTCAATATCACAAAAAAAAATGGGAAGAACACTCTTTCGGTGGAAAGTGATTCTAAGTAATTTAGTTCAAGGAAAATATTATCACAATCAATTTGTCAAGTCTCTCAGAAATTGTCACAGATCAAACGTTGACTTTAGATGGACAAATAAAGAGATTCTGAGAGCTACACATGGCATGAATCAGACTTTGTCAGCGAGTCTATACAGAATGGAAGTTTTCAATAGTGTGTTAAGATGAAATAAATGCTACTCTCTTATTGGACCACAAACCACGATAGAAAGAACGCAACTTAGGTCTTCCCGCACTATATGTTGTTTTAGGACTTTGTTCATAACAGAAAGATCAAATTTTAAAGAAGAGAAACATTAACCTTAAACACATATCGCTTCGAACTTCTCATTGTACTTTACCAAATGACTCTCTAGACAAAAATGTCCTTTATGCTAATTAAATAATTTAAAAAGAATTGAAAAAAAAGTTTCAATTAAAAAACATTTGAATGTTTCCAATACCAAAGTCTGTCATGGGTCATGTACTGATGTGGATGTAGTCTGTCATGGGTCATGTACTGATGTGGATGTGGTCTGCCATGGGTCATGTACTGATGTGGATGTGGTCTGCCATGGGTCATGTACTGATGTAGATGTAGTCTGTCATGGGTCATGTACTGATGTAGATGTGGTCTGTCATGTTCATGCCCTCATGTAGATGTGGTCTGTCATGGTTCATGTACTCATGTAGATGTGGTCTGTCATGGATCATGTACTCATGCATGTGGTCTGGCATGGGTCATGTACTGATGTGGATGTAGTCTGTGATGGGTCATGTAATGTACTGATGGGGATGTAGTCTGTGATGGGTCATGTAATGTACTGATGGGGATGTGGTCTGTCATGGATCATGCACTCATGTAGATGTGGTCTGGCATGGGTCATGTACTGATGTGGATGTAGTCTGTGATGTGTCATGTAATGTACCGATGGGGATGTAGTCTGTGATGGGTCATGTAATGTACTGATGGGGATGTAGTCTGTGATGGGTCATGTACTGATGGGGATGTAGTCTGCTATGGTTCATGTACTCATGTAGATGTGGTCTGTCATGGGTCATGTAATGTACTGATGTAGATGTAGTCAGTCATGGGTCATGTACTGATGTAGATGTGGTCTGTCATAGGCCTCACGTAGATGTGGTCTGTCATGGGTCATGTACTGATGGGGATGTGGTCTGTCATGGGTGATGTACTGATTGGGATGTTGTCTGCCATGTGTCATATAATGATGGGGATGTAGTCGGAAATGTTCACATCAATGTGTTTTTAGGTTTTTCTCTAACCTGGTTTGGGATTAATTAACGTAATGACCGATGGTCCTGATGATTAACTTTTGGCTGGTTGGTCAACGCTGAATTTTGTAAAAAAAAATATTAAAAAATTGATCCCTTTGGTTACATTTGCACTAAGTGATACTGGAGAAGGTCAGGGCCGACGTAAAGGTCAATGAACAAACCTCGGTGCTTCCTTCTCACTTATCAGTAAGCCGTAGAAGGGACCACTCAGCCAGGTTACCCTTCAGGCCGGACTTCATCAGAACTTCGTGTCAAACTAATACAACTTTAATTTCAGCCGGAACAGACCAGTGGTGGATTGGGAAAAACACTTTGTTCAACTTCCTGATCTAGGTCACCTAGCTTTGGACCCGTTGACATTCAAGAATTGGATTTCTGTTCTCAATCAAGACTACCTCTACGTGGCATTGTATGTAGTATTTCATTGTATGTAGTATTTCATTGCTGTTTCAAGAAGTTAATCAGAACAGAAATATACGAAGGTTTGATTTGCAAGACAATTAAAGAACAAGGTAAGTATATTATAAATAATACATTTAAAAAGTTGTTGTTGTATTACAATTTTGAGTAACAGTCAACAGCTCACTAGATAAGGGTACAGACTCCACATTGTTAGCTTCTTGGTGTAGGCTAATAAACTCCCAAACAAAGTCGTTACTATTTGTTTAGAAATAGTTTTCATATATTCTAAGCGGTTGACTTTAAACTGAAAGGCTCTAGTGATGACAACACAATAACGAAAAAACTAGAAGAGAAATATTGTCAAGAAAATCTTGCATTGTATGGGACTTAAACAGCAACCTTATTACGCAACCACACGTAGCTCAAGATATTATATATTATAGCTGTTATTTACATGTAGTCAACATATATCAACACAATATAACATAGCCTGTATTATAAAACCTTCAACAATATAAAAGACATTTGTTCAATGATGCATTTATTGATATACAATGGAGCAGTAGTGACCTTGTAATGGAAATGATGAGTTTATGTATATACAAAAAAGCTTCTGATTAACCCAGGAAGCTCAAATCAATAGTAAGTAATTCATTTTGTAGTTTATATCACAATGTTCAGTAGTTAAAGGGTTAACTTTCTAACACGAACACACTTATACTCCTATCACGCTGATTAAGGTTTCAAACGCTAGAGAAGATTAAGGGATCAAGAGATTGTTGCTCGAAGTCATACAACTGACCACGATGGCTCGTTTATACAAGGGCTGGCTGTTATAGTCATGTACTGCGCATGCCCGTTCAGCCTCGATCCCGGAGGCGCAAGCGACTGTGATGGCGAACGGGTTATGCCGTTTTCCTTAATGGAGTCTTTGCTGGCGTCTCTAGTGTTTAGCCCGTTGGAGCAGAAAGAGTTATTGGAGCTATGGATTAAAGGCATGGCCACGCTGTCGTTCGTTTCACTGTGCCGGACGGCCGGACCGTCCCCGTTGCATGGATGCTTAGAGTTCTGGTAGGCCGCACACGTAGACTTTTCGTTGAGGTGGACCTGCTCGGGCTCGATCTTAGTCGTGACGTTGTTTTGCGGGCACTCCGGGCGGAGGCCGTTCAGTTCCATGATATTGTGGTGGCTGGCTCGCCGGTGGTCAGCCGACACACTGTAACTCCGAACTATCCGCCGGAGCTCGTCCTTGTCAAAGAAGCACATGCAGAAGAGTCTTCTGAACTCGCTCCGAAACTTCCTTCCAAAGAGATAGTACGGAACGATGTTAATGGCGGAGTTGAGATTTACAAGGAAGTTTCCGATTTCGTTTAGCGTGTAGATAGGAATCGTGTTGGAGGCATGGGGGCGGAACGCGTAGATGAGCCTCGACACGAGGGCCGGCCCCTGGCAGATGAGGAAAATGATGATAACTCCGATGAGCATGATGGTGGTGTCGTTGCGGTGCTTTTCCCTGGCGTTTATCTCCTTACCCTTCAACCTGGACAGGTGGACGGCTCGGATCAGAAACGCGTTCAGTATGACGAGCGTCAAGAACGGGATTCCGCATACACAGAGGAGGTAAAGCCAGGAGTGGACCAGCTCGCGGAAGAAGCTGCTGTTGGAGATCTGCGTCTGTTCAATGAAGTAAAGGACTAACTCCTGACTGGAGTTGTTTGCAGGTATCGTCTCAGTCTTGGTGTAATATTCCAAGTACCGGGGAATGTTAAAAACAAGTCCGCCCATGTATAGCCCAATTACTACTTTCCTAGCCCGGCTCTTCCGGCACATCGTCTCCGCCTTGAACGGGTGACATATCATAATGTAGCGGTCCACAGTAAAAGCCAGGGTCAACCAGATGGACGTCACCTGAAAGACGATTGCCGTAGGATGCACGTACGGGAAGAGAATGGCGTGGAAGGCGTCCATGTTCTGAGAGTCCGTGTTCCTCGTGTCCTTCAGCAAAATGAGGAGAGTAAAAAACAGCACCAGAGAGTCACAGACGGCAAGCGCCGAGAGGTACATATACGTACTAGACCTCATCGTCCTTCTTGTGAGGACCGCTACGGAGAGAGCATTGGCCACTGTTCCCAGGCAGCACACGATGGTGCCTCCAATGCCCATTAGGTAGTAAGTGAGGGCATGCCTAACGGCTTCATCGTGCTCGTGGCTGGCACCATCGCCCAGCTGCTGCTGATATCTGATCGGGTCAAAGCTGCCATTGCTATCATTGAAGCTAAGGCGGTTTTCCATGATGTCGTGAAACAGTGTGGCGTCCAGTGATGCCCCAGACTGTCAGGCCCATGCCATTACAAAATAGGAACAGACTTGGAAAGAAGTCACGCCTTTCGAAGAAGTGTGCACACTCTGTCAGGGACCTGGAATTGAAGATAAAAAAAAAAATTAAGAAATTTGCTTTTAACTTCTAACCCCAACTTAAAAAAAAACAACAAAAAACATACAAACTCTCAATAATACTCAAAAAATAATATAATATTAACAGTTTCTGTGAATGTAATTAAGGAAATAAGAGAAAGCCTCAAGTCAAGAAACAAATCTTTACAAAGCAACAGTAGATCAACACAATTAGAAATACACACTTCTATACGGATACCATAAGAACATGTTTAAAAAAACAACAACATTGAACAGCAATACTGGTGTCAAATGCAGAGTGTGCATCCAGCTAGAAGTCAAATTTCAGAAAACACGAACTCTCCAGCTAGACTCGAGTAACAACCAAAGGCTTAGCTACAAGCCTGTGGACTAATAATAGCAACACAAGAGCAATGACTCCGTACTTTTACAATAGACAGTTTTTTCACAGTCGACTTTCGCAACAAAGCAACCAAAACCGCATCTAATGAATCAAGATTTAGATCTAAAACTAGGTCTAGATCTAGCTAGATCTATGTCTAGTTTGTATAACAAATGACAATGGAGATATTGATTTTTTATTTGCGAGGGGAAAGTCTTGTACACAATTTTAGCTTAAAGCAGGCCAAGAATTTTCGTTCGCGTTGTTAATTTATCTAATCTTGTTAGAAGAATAAATCTTTTTTAGTTTCTCTTTATTACATATAGCATGTTATTAATTTTGAATGTATGGATAAGGTCAATAATTATTATTTTAAAAAATATAAGTGTACGCTAAATAAATATATGGAGATACTATGGCTGAGGGGTAAAGCCCTTGGAACCGGAAGTCCCGTGTTCAAATCCTGGTGAAGACTCTAGGTGGACCACTTCGGGGGGGGGGGGGGGGCGATTTTGAGTTTGCATTTCCACACAAACTGTCTTTGTAACATTGTTTTAAAAATGATTCGAGTCTTGTCAGGTTCAATGCACAGTTTTAACTTGTTTCGAGCAGTAGGAGACAAAAACAGCATGTTGAAACTTTTGACCAGACAGAAGGACAGAGTGAATTGATATAAGCTTTGTAATAACGGGGCAGCACAAATTAAGCACAATAATTACATGCTGCAAAGCCATCAACAACTTTACTTAATATTCTTGGCTTATTATTCTTTAACGTATTAGTTGTACTGTTCTCTACTCTATAAACCATGTTCTTTCTATGCGAGATTCTTTGTTTCTCTTATAATGTCAAACCAGCGACAGGTCATGGAGTCGAGTTCAATGAAAGTGAACCTACTGTACCAACACATATATTACCTAGAAAGATGCCAAGAAATAAACCAAGAGAAACCAAAATGTTCAATTTTATCATCACTTCAAGATTCAACGGCAACCATTGGTTGTTTCTCA